CCTTTCTCTGCTCATCTGTGTTCCTTTCTCTGCTCATCTGTGTCCCTTTCTCTGCTCATCTGTGTTCCTTTCTCTGCTCATCTGTGTCCATTTCTCTGCTCATCTGTGTCCTTTTTCTCTTCTCTTCAGTGTCCCTTTCTCTCTTCATCTGTACCCCTTTCTCTGCTCATCTGTGTCCTTTTTCTGCTCATCTGTCTCTTTCTCTGCTCATCTGTGTTCCTTACTCTGCTCATCTTTGTTCCTTTCTCTGCTCATCTGTGTCTCTTTCTCTTCTCATCTTTGTTCTATACTCTGCTCATCTGTGTTCCTTTCTCCGCTCATCTGTGTTCCTTTCTCTGTCCATCTGTGTTCCTTTCTCTGTACATTTTTTCTATGTATGATTTTTACTACAAATCTCTATCCATTTCGTTGTGTCCTGTCTTCTGCTTCTATGTGACATTTTCCCTGCTCTTTCATGTCGCTGACACTGCTCCTTTATGGCCCCTTCTCTGTATTTTAACTGCCCTTTGTGACCTTTTCTCTGCTTATCTGTTTTCCCTTCTACGCCCCTCTGTGCACATTACCCTGTTCCCCTGCCCTCCTTTCTCTGCACCCCATGTGCCCCTTTCCATACCCCTCTATGTCAATTTCTCTGTGTCTTTTCCCCCGTCTCTGTTTATCTATGTCTCTTTCTTTGCATTTTTGTGTCATTTTTACTGCCTTTTATGTTCTTTTCTCAACTTCTCTGTATCTCTTTCTCTGCTTCTCCATTCCCTTCTCTGTCTTTCTATTCACGTCTCCACTTCTCTGTGCCTCTTTCTTTACTTTCCTGTATTCCGTTACTTGCTTCTCTATTTCTTTCTCTGCTTTTCTGTACCCCTTTCTCTACTTCTCTGTATCTCTTTCTCTACTTCTCTGTATCTCTGTCCCTAATTCTCTGTATCACTTTCTCCACTCCTCTATACCCCTTTCTCTGCTTCTCTATTCTCTTTTCTGCTTCTCGTACCCCTTCCTGTGCTTCTCTATTCACGCCTCCACTTATCTGAGCTCCTTTCTCTACTTATCTGTACCCCATTCTGTGCGTCTCTATTCCATTCTCTGCCCTCTTTTCTCTGCTTCTCCATTCCCTTTCTCTGTTTCTCTGTACTCCTTTCTCTACTTTTCTGAACCCCATTCTCTTTTTCTCTATTCCCTTCTCTGCTTCTCTGTATCTCTTTCTCTACTTCTCTATTCCATTCTCTGCTAAAGATTTCTCATCATATATGAAGTTTCAGTGGAACACCTGTTTAATATCAGTATGGAATAGATGCATTATAGCCTTCTTGTTGCCTTCGTCGTGTATTTTCAGGATGTCTGTTTTGGCTTGACCAGATGTAAAACCGTTGATACATTTGGAGAGGTGATGAACTTGTACGTTTTCTATGTTTCAGATATGGGTGTGGTTATGGATAACCGTAATTTGGTAAATCAAAATAATCAGCCGTCCGTGTCTTGGAGCCAATACGCAACGCGAACAGACACGCTCTATTAACCTTAAATATCAAATCGCACAGCGGTGCAACCAGCCATGTCATCGCATACATTGACATGATGCATCCAGACGTGGAATGCCTTCGTATACTATAACAGAATATTTTATCCGGTACTTTTTATATGTAGAATTCAGAGATTACTGACGAAGAAGAGATACCTGACCTGTAAAGCACAAATGTTGACAGACCATACCGTAATAATGCTGGGGTTGGTGGCTGGTAACTCAGTACTCTAATAAGTCACTTGTAGAAATGTACAATTTAAAATTGCGACGAATCTATGAGATTTCAGCATTGCGATGATAGAGTACTTGCTAATGTGATAGAAATGGACGGGAGTCGAAAGGGATAATGGGAAGCATAAGCTATATTGATAAGCATTGTCTACACTAGTAAGAACGTGGATAACATTGTCATATTGTTTTTGTGTGTGCACGTGTCACAACAAACATGTGGGAACAGTTACACGTTTTGACAATTACTATCTAAGTTATCCAAGATATAATAAATAATTAAATTATATTATATAATTGACATCTAGCGTTTTTTTATTTCTTCGGTTACCCTCACAATGAAACCATAATTGGACAACCGACATTCTATAATAGTCATTCATTATTAACACGGAAACTCTCTGCGTATGCATTTTCAGGAATGGACCATTATTCATTTAGGGTAGTGTATAATGTCTTGCTAAAAATACAATACCAATTTTACTGTTTTTCTTTCTTCTCCCCCTCTCCAGTGCTCCTCAGATATCTTCTTCGTGGCTCTGGCGAAAAATAGAACTGTGAAATATATATTTCTCTGATTGTTAAATGAGAGAAGTTTAAAAACAGGTGAACAAGACCTTAGTGGCCGTCGAGATCTCGTTGAAAGCGAGATAATCCCGAGACTTGTATGTTTACTCTCATTTCATCGTCCGGACTCACGGTTTCGCATTCCTCTCTCCCCGAATATGTGGAGGCATTAAGTTGAAACATTATATCTAGAAATTCAAGATTTATTTATCTACAAGCTGTACTAGTACAAGGGGCGTTATCTATGTACATCAGCGTTCTACTCTCCCCCGTCATCTCGCCCACAATGGTTACATAGCACAGCGCTGTCAACAAGACCTCGGCAGCTATTCTAAAAATGCTATTCAATGCTTGCCTTCACAGCTTCATGGGTTGTCTTCTGTATTTCGCATTCACATCCGACTTATATATATATATATATATATATATACAATAGGTGTTTGTTTCGTGACACGAAAATTAGGACGTACAGGGAAAGTCAATCAGTTGTAAATCCCCCAATGAATTGTTTATAGATGAATCGGGAACGCCGAAAGCAGTCAATTGATTTTTTAGCGATGTATTCAATATTTAGTCGCACGTGTACCCGGCAACCTTCGAATTTACACATCGACTTCCAGGATTGAAAGTAACATAGTGCAAATTGAATACAAGTAATGTTTCGTGGAATCGGTCGCATTGATTAAGTCTGCTTATGGGCCTCTCTCAATCGATCGCACCAACCATGCTGGCAGATCGCCCACATGTGCGTTGCGTAACATAATTTTAAAGCGTAATTTTTTTAATCTTCTTTTTTCGCAATTTTTAGTGTGTGGTGGTGATCCGTCCTGTTCTGTTTCCTAAATTTAGGATTAATCGCGTTTTCGATTTGTTTCAGTTACACTCGATAAAGATATATTCAAAGTCGTGATTTGGAATGACTTTATTTTTTCACGAGAGAGTAAATAAACGAATTGTGTCCCATGCAACGTTCGCGTTTCTTTTTACTCTTACCTTGTACAGCACATGCTAATCTGCATAGAACAAATACAAACCTAGACAACAGCATTGATCATTCACAACAAATCCATCGCTGCTAGTCACGGACATACAAATCCCAGGACATCGCCTACATTTGAAACAACAAGGCAAAGAACAAAAATAATAATAACAAAGCAATCGTCGTCTTTAATGTCAAAGGACAGCTACTGGTTTTAACCAACGATTATCAGACATGCCGCTAGTAGGGGTTCGTATTCTGTGAATATGGGTAATCGATGTCATCACTGCTATCAGTAAAACTATCTTCTTAATCAATACACCAGGCAAATTAAACTTCGATTATGCATTGCTATTTTTGAAACAAACATGACAATTATTACTTTTAAAATTGAATTGCAGACTGGAGATATTTACCTGTGCTTAAAGTAATGGGAAAACCCTACAAATACTCATGGTTCCTAAGATCGATCTGTGCAACAGAAAGCCCCCCTCTACCGGAAGGGTTTTCTTTGAATGAGTTGCGAGACTGAAAGATGATATCAAATGTCCCACTATTCTATGCGCGTAGATGTGATTGCGTGATCATAACCACAATCCTTTGTGTCACGTTCGATTGCGTCATCTGTTGTCCACGCATTCCAACATGGGAAGTGTTTAAGTAATTTGTTAATCGTAATATACGTGTACACAAAACTGCACTTAGACAAAAGTTTTATTAATACAAGCTTTATAAATTTGATAAACAAATCGGCAGCAAAGTGTCTAATCTTTCATGTGAATTGATTGGCAGTTCACTATATGGTTGATATGGCAACTGTATTTCTGAACAACAAGGAAAGCAGTCACTGTATACGCCCCTCCCAAACAAAACGATGTAACAGACACAACCACAATTAAACATAAAAGGATTTTAAAGCGCGGTGGTCGTGTATTTTACACGCGTTGTATACGTCGCTATGAGTCCCATATCGAACAGGACGCGGCGCGACGACTGCCGCCCTTTAATCTTTCGTCACATGACATGATGATGTGAGTGCTACTTACATAAGTAAATATTACGTAGAATAAATATCACTTAAAACAAGGACGCTGGAGAGTTGTCGCTTTATATACTGTGCCTACTTTTGCTAATAAAGACTAATAATTGTATTTCAATTTAATACGTGACGTGATAGTCATCTTTTCCCATGGTTACTGCTTCCTGATGATAATGAATTGTCTCTAC